GGGATCATGATCCTCCCTCTGGACAGACTTCATCCAAACTGCTCTGTGTCCTCAGCTTCTGGACGCACTGGCAGATGTAACCAGATTCACCTGAATGTCATGCAGACAGAAAATGCAACCTAGACAGCAGGAGGTTGCTGCTCCTCTGAGGGGAACTAGTTGGAAATGACTGTCAACTTGTTGCAGAAATAATCAGCTGTTGAGCCACATTGACTTTATAAAGTCAGTCAGACAGGACTATCGAATGTTGCCATGGTAACCACCAAGTAGTTCAGAGCCATTTAGATTTAACCGAAAGTTAGAGATGAGAATAAGTCGTCTTAATGGAATCAGAAGCTGCTTTAAACTGGAGCAGAAAGTCAAAAAGCTGCGACTCGACCGACCAATCAGAGAGTTTCTGGCAAAAATAACATTTAAACCCACAATTATGCTTCTTCCTCAGTCAACTGAGCTTCAGCTCCACAGATGCTTGAAGGGACCGAACCCAAACTTTACCGTTTATCCCTTTCTTCCTCTGCAGAAACAATGTCTCCTCTTCTTCTTTCTCGCCTTGTCTTCCAAAGAGCAGAAACATGCACAGGCCGGCCTCCGGCCTGGGAACGTCTCTAGGTCCCGGCCCGTTTAAAACATCCCAAAAATACAGGCTGCAGAGCAGCAGAGAGAGCTCACGTTTCACTGTGGTTAACGCAGAGCGGCGAGTCCCACATCTGGAGGGAGTGAGCCCCATCTGCCTCCCACCCTGTTCCTATTGGACCATCAGCTGGGAGGAAGGAGGTTCTACTGCTGCTGCAGGAGGGAGGAGAGAGCGAGGAAAGGATCAAAAGAACAAAAATGGGACATAAAAAGAGGAAAGGGAGGATAAAACCACAGGAAGAGATATGCTGTGTTTATGTTAGCTTGTTGTCAGATTTACATCCATTCACACACCTTAAGGACATCAGCAAAGCATCAAGGCTTAACAGAAGTAAAAGTTTGTTTAAAGCAGTTCTGTCCTATAGGAGGAGTGGGAACAAACAGGAAGCAGAAAAGAAAGCAGGAACTGTCAGATTAGAGGAACAGAAAATGTAGGATGAGATGGAAAGAGACCAGGAGAGGAAAAGAGAAACACCAGAGGAACAAAACAGTGAAAGAAGTGAAACAGAATTTTTAAAGAGAGAAACGCAGAAGAGGGATAAACGAGATGTTTTCTCTGCTGGCGATTCGATCAAACAGGAAGGAGGCTGTTTATGATCCAGATTATCTACAGTTTTTACCAGGAAGCACCACAAATACCATCCCTGCTCCAGAGCCGAAGATTCAACTTTACGGCGGCAAACAGAGAGAACAGATGGGATCATTCCAGATCAATTATTGCTCTGATGAAACGACGCTGCATCAGTCAGAGCATTCAGAGCTGGAACAGTTAAACATGTTTACATCACTAAATGAGACGACCTCATTAAGCTTCAGACGATGGAAGACGCCTTCTTCCCATTCTGCTCTGAGATGTGGAGGGGAGATATTTACTTCCTAGATGCTGTTCTTTAGGACAGATGTGTAAATAAACAGGGACCAGAATAGCTCTGGGAATGAGATGGTCCACAGACAGCATCCTAACGAAGCCTCTTTGTTCAAAGTTTGCCAAACTGTTTCCGACTTCCTTTAGTTCAGATAAGGTGGTGATTTATGTCTGTTATGAAGAGGGGTCAAAAAACAAACTTTTTTTCCAGGTTAACCTAATATCAAACAAAGAAGCTAAAGTTAAATGCTGCTATAGGCTTAGACTGCTGGAGGACATAGGGATCCCTTTTTCATCATTCTTGACGGGGCCGCCTGTGGAGCTGGTTGACAGTTTCCTTTTGTATCTATGCTTCTTTTTCTATGTCTGCCTCTGTCTCCTTGAACCCCAGTGGGCCTCAGCTGATCATAAAGATCATAAAGATCAGCTGAGTTTCCAAACATCATCATCCACCTGCTGACCTCACTGCTGTGCTGCTTCCTGATGTTCACAATAATGACTCACAAACCTTAAAGCGTCCATCCTAGTGAGTCAATAGTGAACGCCTGTAGGATGTATTTCTAGACTTACTTTATGAAGATATGTTGCTTATTAATTCTTGCAAAGCCCCGTCCTCCTGAAGACGATAGAATAGAATCTACTTTATTGTCCTCTAAGGGAAATTAGGCCCAGGTGAGCAGAGCACAGTAGTACCTGCCATCAGAAATACATACGTATGAAAAACTAATACCAGCTAAAAACGCACACATCTATTACAAACACATCCTCTAAAGAATTAAAATAGAAAACAACAAGCAGACCACAGTTATTGCATTCCTCTTTCTCCCCTTATAGATCTATTTCAAATGTTGATGGAGGTGGATATAAAGGAGCATTTAAAGCAGCTCAGTTTGGTTTTGGGATTCTGAACCTTCTGAAGGGAAGTTTGTATTCCTGATGAAGGATGTGGGACGGGTCCAGCAGGCGCCTGCCTGAGTACAGACTGAAGGCAGAGCTGTTCTGTCCTCCCATCACCTTCATAGCAGTCTGTACCAGGAGCTGAGACTGACTGAGTGGAGAGACCGCCGAACCCTGAGGATACTCTCATCACTGCCTGATAGAATAATGATAATTAAACTTTATTACCGCACAGAACTTTTTGCCTGAGTCACGTTTCAGTTTTACACCAACAATCTGTTTGGCCAAAGAGACGTTTCCCTGAATCAGAGGGAGCTTCCACTTGCTGGTTTCAGACCCTGGTTTTACGGAGTAGTCACGGTGGTCCACTGTGGAACGCTAAACTGCACTGGATCCCAGGATCCTATAGCGACGCTCCAGTTTGGAGAGTTTAGGCTGAATCTCAGCTCCTTCCTGGACCACAGACTGAAGGTTGGTCATTGGGAGTGTTGACCTAGAGGGTTAGAGCAGTGTGCTTGTGCTCTCCCTGATTAACTACTTTGAATATGACTTTCTGACAGACATGGGCAATGTGGAGTCAACAAGTCATCTCCATGTCATGTATTTAATCTACCCAGCCAATTAACCAGGTGAATCCAATCTGCACAGGTTAATTCATGGTGAAGATTGGACTCACCTGCTTCAGTGGCTGGGTAGAACAAAAACATGACTGCTTTGTACTCATTTTGTTTTCCTGTGGAATTTCTAGATTGTTCTGAACTGGACTCGCCTTCAGTTGATCTCTGCTTTTTCCGCTTTCTCTAATTTTTTGACTCTACTATCTTCCAATCTTCTTCGTTTTCACTATTTCCTTCTTCCATCGCAAAAGAATCGCTTCCTGTTTGCTCGCTACTCACGGCCCATGACTTAGAAACACTCGCCCACTCAGTGCTGCTCTGCTGCTGCATCCCATTTTATACCAGCTGCTCTAATTAGCCTCATCATGTTCACCTGTTTCAGGAAATGAGATTAACAATTAGCTCTGATTAAAAAGCAATTATCCTGAGTTAATTTATCCTGCTTTTTCAAATTTAGGATTTTCAATCTGAGAACAAAGGTCTGTTTCACCAAGATAAGTTTGGATTATCTGAATATGCTGTTTTAATTAAGCTTCAACTCAGTTAAAGCTAGCCTGCTCCAGACCAGGCTAACAGCCGGTGTTCTGTCAGACCAGCATACCCGTAGTAATAACCCGTAACCCGTAATAACCATTTATCCCTTTAGTTTTGTATGAAAAATAAACTTTAAACTACCTCAGCAGGTGTGCATCCCTTTAGTCATGTACAAAAAATCTATTTAATTACTTTTGTACTTCGTACTTTTGTACTTTGTGTTAAAACCTCCCAGTGTTTAATTTTGGCAGCTAGTTAGTGCATCCGTTCTCTGAAAAGAAGCAGAAGTTCTGAAAAGAGCATAAATTCTGTATTTATCATCTTTAAAGTTAATATATTGATGTGCATAATTAACCTCAAAGTTTGTTTTTGTTGTCAAATAACTGTTAATGTATGAAAAATTAACTACCTGAATCTGAGGCGCTTAAGCAGACAGTGGAGAATATAGCGGAGATCTTTACAAGTTTGAATAAAACAAAAAAACAAAACAAAAAACTCAAGCCTCTAGGATTTCCTGCTGTTCCGCATTTCACCACTAGATGTCACCATAGCTCAATGATAAAGGTTTTAGTTCTGATCCAGAGTCTAAATGAGGGTGATGTTGGCTGCGTTCGTATTCATGGGCTGCGTCCTCTGAAGGCCATTAAAGGCCTTAAAATGCGTCCTTCTTTTAGCCCGGTTTGGAGGACGGGTCCCTTTATTGTCCCACAATGAGGAAATTCTGGTGTTTACAGCTGAAAAAAAAAAAAGTTAGAAAAATGAGGACATTAGAAACATAATAATGAAGAATTAAAAGATAAACAATAAAATAGTGTCAAGTGCTTTAACAATATAAAACTGGAGAATAAA